CCCCCCGCTCTCCCGGGTGGGAGACGGGTGTCCCCCCACAGAGCTATACAGAGAGATATATATATATATATATATATATATATATATATATATATATATTCAGCTAATGTGTTAATGACTCTTAAGATAAGATTCAAAACTGACTTCTCAAACTATCCAATGTTATAATCTATCTATCTATCTATCTATCTGATAAATGCTACAATAATTACCATCCTATAATAAATATCTATCATCATAATGATAAACATGAGTAATGGGTGAGTCAATTACTTCTATTTATCTACAGTGAGGAAAATAAGTATTTGAACACCTTGTGACTTTGCAAGTTCTCCCACTTAGAAATCATGGAAGGTTTGAAATTGAGACATCCATTTTCTTACAGCCTTGTCCCTTAGTGGGTCAGGAGGGTTGCACCAGAGTCTGCAAGCTTTTCATCCTGGTGGTAAATAAAGCCCCAAGCCCCTCCCACATCTCATGATGAGAACAGGAGACCAGGCCTACTTAAATAATGGATGGTTTTCTTTTATAATCATCACCTCTTAAAAACTTTTCTTTTAAAGTTGAAATGATGAATCTGAGAGCTCTGTTGAGTCGTCTTTTGTTGCTTTGGATGGTAAGTATTGTTGGTGAGCCACCATAAATCACAATCCATCAGAATTGCATGTTTCTGATTTGTAAAATGTATGAATGAAGAGAATGCATGAATACTCATCACCACGGCTTTCCTGTTTGCAGGCTTTGAATCTATAAGAATGTTTTTCTTGACTCTGCTCCTCGTCGTCAAACCCTCACCAGCTGCATGACAACAGTGCAAATATTCCCTTCCCAGCCTGCCTGCGTGAGAAAACCTCCACCACCCGTCTGACGGCCTCTGCTTGTGCGAAGCCCGTCTCCTGTGGTGTAGTCAGACTTAAAGCCAGAGCTTAACTGCCATGTTCAGAAGAATTACACACTAAAACTGGATTTGGAGTGTCTGTGACAAATCAGCATCTATGTGACAAACTTTTTAGGGAGTAAGGGGGAAGATGCTTCAATTCTCTCTTCAAGAAAGGATGAAAATATAAGTCTATTAAGCAGCACATACTTCTACTGTAAGCCTCTTAGGTTGAGGAAAGACACACCTAGGATGCCAGGCTGCTCCCTGAGGAGCTAATCCCAAACCATAACCTAATCTTGTGTTTGGTGATCAAACGGCTGAGAGGAAAACGTGTGAGGAGGAATTAAGAAGTACAAATCTGCAGAAACAAATCTTATTATGGTGAGAAACCTTCAGCCTGGCATCAACTATATTTACTGCTCAGGGTCTGTGTAAAAGAACTCTTTAAATTGTCACAGTTTCAGCAGAGTGCTAAGATGTAGCTGCTGGTGAGCAGGGGCTCGTACGTGGGTTTGCTGCTGCTGCGGCGGCTCCTGCTGTCACCATCTGAAGTCTTTGCATTTGTTTGTTTTTACAGGCACAACACATCCCACTGGGGCTGAATCCCAACAGCAAATTACTATTTAATTTGCACCCTGTGAATAAGGCATGTTGTTGTACTTTTCTCACCCAGTTCTGAATTTTCAAAGGGGAAATATATATATATATATATATATATATATATATATATATATAGCAGAAGAAGGATCAGCTGGGTGGATCAAATGGTTGTGTTCACACAGCAAGGGAGGGAATGTGATGGTTGAGATAAAGAAGGAAGAGAGATAACAACAAATACTTAAAAACAACTGTATGTAATAAGCCCAGACAACGTTTTCTGCAAGACTAATCAGAGTCATTTCGTTGGCTCCCAGGGCTTTGCTTTCATTTCCAACACTTTCTGCAGAGAATCTGTGCCTCTGACATCACATCCTGTGAGCTTGGTTAAGTCAGGGTCGCTGCAGCGATGGCCTGCAGCGCTCTCTGGGAGGACAGCAGCTCATGGTGGAGGAAGCACCAAGCTGTACTGCAAATATCAGGTGTCATCTTCAGTAGATCAAACCCCAACTCTGGGAAGCCGACTGGCCATAACTAAGCCACAGTTCCTGTGATATGTGGCCCTGCTGGTCATAACTCATACTGGTGTTCTATGACTCCAACCCCCCGATCATCTGTGAACACACTAAGGTAGAAATGAGTCAGAAAGGTTTCCTTCAAAAACAAGCTGGTCAAGGAAGCTTCAGTCAGTTCATTTAGTAAGTTTCCTCAACATGCCTGAGGATTCATTCAATGTTGATGCATCAAAATGAACTAAACATTATGATCTGTACATTTCTATCTCATGGGCATCAGAAACCTTAACTGTAATGGTGAGATAGTTTACATTCAAATTAAATATATATTTCTAGAACATAAACACTTGAAATCAGATATTTGTGTCATGATCCATGGTTCTGTGTCTTTAGTTTTGAGTTTTTCTGTGTGATTCTGTTTCCCTGTGAGTCTCTGTCCTGTCTTCCCCGTTGATTATTTCCCAGGTGTCTCTCATTCCCTGATTACCCCGTGTGTGTTTAGTCTCACCTGTTGTCTGTGTTCATCGTCGGATCCTCGTCTAATGTCAGTTTTGTCTCAGTCGTCACAGTAGAACTGTATAGTCCTGTGACGGCGTTAGCTCATGTATGTCAGTCTTTAGTTTCAGTTGCTACCGGTATCAAGCTGTTGCTTAGTTTTCTGCCGTGCCGCCTGAACTGGACTGTCGAGTGTTTCATCAATAAATTCATAATTTTCTTCATAAATCGGGTTTTCTGCGTCTCTCCTCACCACTACCACTACCTTATGACAATTTGCACACAAAAAAGTCATTATTTTCTCACTATCAGACTAAATCGTTGTTTAGGTCATTTAGGAATACCTACATTATTTATATTTTCTAAATAAAAGGCCATACAATAGATCTCCTGCCAGACACACTGCTGCCAACCAGTCGTTCGCTCAGCCCATTCAGACAGAAACATGAAGATTTATCAATGACTCAATGGCTGCTGGAATTATTCACCGTTTGTCATCTCCACTCAGTCCCAGTTTCTTTGATGGCACATTATACCCATAAATTACATACAATGGTCTGGCATGTTTCTGGAAAATTGTTTAACTCACATGCAGAATCATACAATGACCAGAGGATGAAAGTAGTGTGTTATGTGTAATGTGCAATTCAGGAGGCGTTGAATGGAAACTGGAAGGGAGAATGTGTTAGAAATGGGAGGTTCACAGGTAAGTTTACCTGAATGTACTTTTGGATGATCAGTCTTACATTTTGCTGAGGGAGAAGGAGCCTTGGGAGGAAACGCTGGGTTCTGCTGACTGGGTTCTGACTGATTTGATTGTTTGATGAGGTGAGACCAGTAGGGATCAGAGACCGGGGCAGTCATCCAGGAATCTGTCCCACAGAGGAAGGGCGTCTGCTAAACAAGGCTTCCATTACCCATGTCTGACCACGCCCGCCACCAATCAGTGAAGAGTATAATGGTTACATCACATTAAAGCACCTGCACGTCTCTGACCGACCCTGCTCCAGAGTAGGGAAGGAAAAAGCAGAAACTGGGTAGGAAAAAAAAAAAAAAACAGAAGTAGAACTGCTCACAAACGAGGCGGAGTGGAGTGGAGCCGGGTCCAGTGGAGCCAGTAGAAAAAGGTTAATAGACCTTGTAGCTCTGTGTTTCCAAGATCAGAAATAAACAAGCGAGGCAACATTTCATTTCTACGCTCACTAGCTCTGGAACCAAGTGCCTGAAAAACTGAGATGTACAAAAACTGTTGATTCCTTAGAACCGAGACTGAAAACATGAATATTTTCTGCAGCTAACACAATGATTGATTCATAATTAGTGTGCATTAGCACTTTGTTTGCTTCAATTTAGTTATCTTTGTCATTTTGTTTATGTTTAATTTCATTGTATGTTTTATCCATATTTCATTTTGAATGCCCCTGCATGTAATTAACTGCTTCAATAAGAGCCATCAGGATAACAGGACGGGTTTGTGACTTTCTGTACTCTCTAAATTTGAGTTTTAATCCTCATTCCTGTGTGTTCTCTTTTTATTAGTTGTATAAGGTCCCTTCCATTGTTGTCCAACAACAGCAGAAACAAACCTTAAATAAAGGCCCGTTGTTCTGAGTCCTTATGAAAAAATCAAAAAAACAAAAACAAAGCCAGTGCTTGAAAGCAAATCTAATTTTACATATATCACTTGTACAAAGCATTGTTTATTTCAATGTATTCTTGTTTAGAGATTAAAGAGATGAAAGCTTTTCCAAAAAAGAACCTGAATTCATTATTAAGGAATAAGTGAAGTAATTCTATTTTGTAAGGATCCAAAGACAATTTAATGGAGTTATTTACTGTACTACACACTTTTCAGCAATTTTTTAAACAATATGCTTAAACTGAAACACATATAAGAACTTAAAAAATATGTTTTCATAAGATAATCTGAGACTTTCTTTCATCTGGAATAATGTCTCAGATTAAAAAGGCACCTGAAATGGAAGCAAAGTCTCAAAATAACTTTTTGAAATTCTGCCTTCCTATGAGTTTTATAACACAGTGAAAAATAATTAGTCCTGTCAGTCAAATTATAATTTGGTTGACAGCAATGAAACTGATTGACAGATTACAATAGATTACTAATCTAATGCAATCAGATTAGTCACAGTCTAGCTGTGATTAATCACAATCAATCACTATGCTTAACAGTGTAAGCTTGAAAAGTAAAAATGCAAGTTTTCAAAATGTGTTAAAGAAAATTTATTGTCTCAAACCAGATATCCCAGTTTTCCAGGTTTTGATGTTCTGGAACGTTTAAAAGAAATCATTTGTTTCAAAAGTAATATTAAAATTTTGACTATAAACTGAATCCAAATGATTGTATGGTGATCAATACGTGACTGGCAAGAAATGATAAGTTCTTGTATCTTCCACCTGTTCCTTTTTGAACAAATTGTGAAAATTGCATGTCAGTTGGCATCATTGTTTGTCCTACTTTTTCCTTTTTTATTGTCTGTTCAAAATAAATAAATAAAGATAATGTGAATAGTGTTATACAATAGGCTGTTCTGTCTCTTTTGCAGACTATTTCTATCACTGTCTGAATCCCAGTGAACTCTTTTGTCTTTTTTTCCTTTTGGTGGGTTTGTCCTCTGAAGAGCATCAGGGGTTTCGTGTGCTTGCTTAGTAAAGCCTCTAATGTGTCACCAGAGCAAGTGTAATAGTTTTTTTTTTTTTTTTAGCAAACAAAAACAAAGAGAGATCATTTCCAGCAGCTTCCTTAGTCCTGCATTTTTCTTCATAAACCATTTTTGAAATCATAGCCAGGAGCAAACTCCATCATTTCTTAATGTGTTGAAAAATGTAAATCTTACCAGACACAAGCGTTTGTATTTATGAGACTTGACTGAGAGCTCTTTTGTACCCAGTGTGCCCTAATGATCTTTACTCTCTGGAAACATGGCGTCCCACAACGACAGTTCTGTAATCAAATTAGGAACACTTGACTGATAACGCTAATTAGGTCCAGGGACGTTGTCTTCCATCTGTGCTTCACGTCTCATGGACCAGTGAGCTAACAGCTCGAGCAATGGCCCCGACATCTGGATGCTACATGTCCTAATCAATAGTCACCCTGTGTGATAATGCTAATGATGTCTTTAATTCAGCCAAGCACTGACCCAGACCTGAGTTGTTCCTTTACATGTTTTATGAACGTGAGGCTCTGAACCCAAAAGGACAGGACTCTGTTTGCTCTAAATAGACCCACACTTTCACTCAATAACAAAGCATGGCGTGAGCCTGATTCTTACCACTGAGCTAGTTTTGGTTTAGAAGTTTCTCTGAACAAGGCGAGGGTTTGTGCCCTTCTGTGTTGTGATGGATTTGCTGTGAAAAGCTGTGCCAACCTTTGTACTTCACACAAAAATACCAGAAAACACAAAAACAATGAAGCTTTTAGATTCACGGAGAAGAATCTTTCTTGACCGAGTTCCCCCCACCACTCTGCTCTCTCGTTGGACAGCTGAGGTGATTGTGTAATGAAAAAAAGCAACAGTCTGCATGCATTTACTTGATGAGGGCCAAAGTTTTAGAGAGAAGCGGACACAGATTAAGCCAAGGCTGACCCTCTCTTTTCTCTTCTCTCCCAAAATCTCTACAGTCCCAACTGACAACTACGATTCAGCCTCTGAGAAGCATGGTCCAGTCATGCAGCATAAGAGGATTGAAGCTCAGATACCACTTGATTAGGCCGCTATGAATGGAGCAATGTGCTCAATCCCAACAGGATTTGCATGCCACTTGACTGAGGACATATGGGCTTTAACCCAGTACCGACAAACAGCGAGCAATCTGCTGCTTGTCTTTTTGAATGCTTGTGTTCATCTCAGGGACTAGGAACACAGACAGCTTTGAACCCACTCAGTGCATTCCATAGCTGATGCTCAAAAGAGCTGTGCTCTTGGAAAGGGTCATAGAGCTTACACTAACCTAATTACTCCATGGTAGAGCTGAGCAGGGAGCCACTCCAATTAATGTAAGATTAGGAACACTACTTTTTCTCTCGAGTGGAGAGGGAATTGTTATGAAATGCAGATAATATGGGCAAACATTATAGAAGTAGTCAAGCATAAAAAGCATTTGTTATTCACCTCTGAGCTTTAAAGAAGTGAGATATGAAAGGGTAGTTGTCTTGCCAAGGACTACATTTTTGTCTTTATTCCTTGCTAGCTTTCTTACTTTTTTCTGCTTTGTAATAGTTTCTTAGTAATATCAGAGTTGAACAATGATAGGGCAAACCGAGTTTAAACTTTAGAGGGAGGAAGCTAAGAAATGAACTTTGATTTTAAGCTTCATATTCCACAGAACTCATCAATCCATGAAAATTCATTAAAAAAGCTTGAAAGTGTTTTCAATTCTGCAAAATAATTTGTTTAAACTATTTCTAAATTTAGTAGAGATTCTTAATTTGAATTAAGAACAGTAATGAAGACATATAGAATACCAATTATCTAACTGGACATAACTGACATGACGCCGGCTCCGCCCGCATCATGACGTAGCGCATACCTCCACCAATCATTCCAAGGGATTTGTCAGCAACTGACCAATCAGAGTCGCAAGTGCACATCCCTTATATAGAGGAACTGACCTCCGACAATATTGGCAATGTTTATCATAGCAAACACTCTGCGGTCAGAGAGATTTGAAGAAAATAATAGATAATCACAGTCCAAGTTGTCCGTGGGGAACATGCAATCCTGACAGCCGTTACCCAGAACATGTAGAGGGCAGAATTCAAAACCAAAAACGAGTGTGGAATAACGCAACAAATGGATCATGGCCTGCAGCCGACCTCATGTCCATCTGAATGAAACTGATGGATGGGAACTACGATGTGTTAGTCAGCAGGAAGGTAACCGGTAGTAAACATCCCATTTTTGTCATAACGACACTTATTGATAGTCAAATTGAACTCTGTAGCGGTTAATTGGGCAAATAATTAAACACAAGTGAATAAAGAAAATTATACGTAGATATTATATTTGTCATGAATGCTGCTTAACTTGAACAATGTAATATATTATGTGGAAGTAATCAGGCTAACAGCTTAAGGACTCCGTGCTAATAGCTCATGTTAGTCGATAACTCAATACTGACGGCCAACTGTCAAATAAACACAACTCAGTCTGACTAAATGCTAAACATCTAATCATTTCCAGATCAATAAATTAAGGAAGTTGTGGTGGATTTTATGCATGTAGATTCAAATGGTAACTCTATGGCAGCATGGAAACAGACTGCAACAACTGCTGTATTTACTTTTAAGCACCATTTTATGTTTAAGCATTTTCTTGAAGGCAGATTTTCACAAGCCGGCATTGTTTAAGTCATTACTCACCCATTTTGTTTGTGCAAAATGAGTCTGACACAGCGTTCACACTCACATCCAAACAGACTTTGTGTCCCTTATCATTTTTCCTCTTGGGTTCATCGTTTATTTTTCCGTTGTTTCCCGCTAATAACCTTACAGACTTGATGTAGGGCTCTTTAGAGAATTTTCTTGACCGCCGTCTTTGCCTCAGCGTTGGTTTATGTCATGTTTTGAGGGAGGTTTTTGACCCGCATGAAGAAACACATTGGCAGAGGGAGAGCAGTTAACAATGATTTATTTGCAGGGAATCAAATGACCTTGGAAGGTTAGGGGGCAATCGGGAATTCAGGCTCTGCAAGGAGATGGATAAAGTTAGACCGAGGCTGTGACGTGATTATTTCAGATCTGGAAGGGCGAGTTGCTGGGGGGCTTACTTGATCCAGGGAGGATGCGGAACCTAAAGGGGGACACTTGGTGCCGGGTGTGTCCGTGGCGGATCGGGTAAGCCGGGCAGGGAGGGCGGGCTGGCTGTGAGGCTTGAAGCTTGACTTGGAGCAGCGATCGGGGTGAATCCTTGGAGTCGGGTCC